ACATAAAACATTAAGGGGAGTAAATGTATAAAGCTTCAGAATTCATATGAATAAAATGTTATAACTCTAAAGTATTTATGTGATTCTCATGGTAACCACAAAGCAAAAGCCTGCAGTAAGTACACACAAGATAAAGAGAAAAGAATCTAAACATCTCTTTGCAGAAAGTGACCAAGAGAAAAAGAAAGGGAAAAGGAAATTTAAAAAAAGCCACAAAACAAATGACAAAATGCTGATAAATCCATACCTAATTACTTGAAAAGTGAAGGGACTAAAATTTCCAATCAAAAGGCGTAGAGTGGTTGACTGGATACAAAACAAGACCTAACTGTATGCTGTCTGCACGAAACTCACTTCAGGTTTAAGGAAATACAAAGAACGAAAGTGAAGGAACAGAAAATGCTATTCCATGTAAATGGAAACTAGAAGAAAGCTGGAAAAGCTATACTTATATAAGACAAAATAGATATTAAGGCAAAATATGTAGTAAGAGTCATTATATGTCCATCAACTGATGAACGGATAAGGAAAATGTGTATATACACACAGGAATATTACTCAGCCATCAAAAAGAATGAAATCTTGCCATCTGCAACAATGTGGATGGAACTAGAGGGTATCATGCTGAGTGAAATAAGTCAGTCAGAGAAAGACAAACATCATATGATTTCACTCATAATGTGGAATTTAAGAAACAAAACAGATGAATATAAGGGAAAAGAAGGAAAAGTAAAAAAAGACAAAATCAGAGAGGGAGACAAACCATAAGAAACTCCTCTTAATTCTAGGAAACAATCTGAGGGTTGCTGGGGGGGATGGGGGGTCGAGATGTGGTAACTGGGTGATGTGATGTAATGAGCACTGGCTGTTATATGCAACTAATTAATCACTAAACTCTAAGTCTGAAACTAATTAATACACTATCTGTTAATTGATTTTAAATAAAAAAAATTCAAAGAGCGTGTCAGCAATGAAAAAGAAACAAGTAATCAAAGGTAAAAACTTCCAGTTATAGTAGCCACCCCCCCAACCATGGAGGGTATGTCCCAAGACCCCCAGTGGATGCCTGAGAACTGTGACTATTACTCAACCTTATACATACCATGTTTTGTTCTATCCACACATACCTATGGTATAATTTAAATTATAAAAGTATACCACAGTAAGGGATTAACAACAGTAACAAAATAGAACAATTATAATAATGTATGATAATAAAAGTTATGTGATTGCAGTCTCTTTATCTCTGACTCTTAAAATACCTTATTGTACTGTACTCGCCCCCTTGTTTTACTTGTGTGATGATAAAAATGCCTACATGATGAGATGAAGTGTGGTGAATAACGCAGGCATTGTGACACAGCATTAGGTTAATACTGACCTACTGACGAAAGAAGGAAGATCATATTCTTCTGGACTGTAATTGACCAGGGGTAAACTGAAACCATGGGGAGTGGAGCTGCAGGTATGGTGGGACAACTGTACAAGGTAAGTAAGTCTAGCGATGTCAGGTACAGCATGGTCACTCTGGTCAACAACACTGTATTGTATATTTGAAAGTTGCTAAGAGAGTAGATCTTAAAATTCTCATCGCATACCAAAATGTGCAACTCTGTGTGTTTACAGATGTTAACTTAGTGTGGTAATAACATTGCAATATATACCTATATCAAATCATTATGTTGTAAACCTAAAACTAACACGTTGTATGTCTAAAACCAATACCGTGTTATATGTCAATTTTATCTCAAAATAAATAAATAAGTGGGTAGATAGAGAAAATGAAACTCTAAAAATACACTCAAAGGATGAAAAAGGGAAAAAAAATTAGGCGACAATAGTAAAATAGTAGACATAAATCCAATTGTATCAATAATTACATTAAGTTTTATTGGAATAAATGCTCCAATTAAAGATTTTTTTTTTTATTGAGAGAAGAAAGGGGTCAATTATATGTTGCTTACAAGAAACATGCATTTTAAATATAAAGAGAGAGATAATTCAAATTAAATGGTTAGGAACACATATCCCTTGCAAACAGTAAGCATAGGAATACTGAATTAATAACATTAATTTTAGATAAAATTTGAGAGCAAGAATTAAAGGGGACATTTCATAAGGATAAAGAACAAACTACAGCTTTTAGTTTAAAGGTCTTGCATATTTTCTGCTAAATTTATAATGAAGACACATGTGGGTTTTTTCAATAAAGGCAAAATTAGTATTTGATACAAAAGAATGAACATCCATAGCATAATCTCTCAGAAAACTAGGAACAGAAGGGAACTTACTTGATCTGGTAAAAGACATGAAAATTTGGAGCTAACAGCATATTTAATAGTGGAAGCCTAAATGCTACCCCCCCAAGATCAGGAACAAGAAAAGAAAGGAAAGAAAGTATCAACTCTCACCACATCTATTCAACATCATACTGTAGATTCAAACAGGATCAGTAAAGAAATAAAAGGCATAAAAATCAGAAAAAAAAAGAAACAGTCTCTTATTTGTATATGACATGATGATTTACATAAAAAATCCTAAGTAATCTTTAAAGTAACTACTTTAAGAAATGAATTTAACAAGTGGCTATAAATACAATATGCAAATATGCAACATGCAAGCACCTATTAAAGACTGAAACAACTGGCCAATGAATTTTTTAAATATCCATTTAAGACAGCACTAGGAAAAAAAATCCACAAAATACTTAGGAATAAATTGAGCAGAAAATGTGCAAGACCTTTAAACTAAAAACTGCCAAAAAACAAATAAATAAATAAAAAGGTGAATTTTTTAAACCTAAATAAATGGGGAGAACTAACATGTTTAGGTATTGGAAAATTTAATATTATCAAAATATCACTTCTCACCAATTGACCTATAGATACATGGTAACTCCTATCAGAATCCAGGGCATTTTTTTCTTTGTTTTTGGAAATCTGACATGGTGATTTTAAAACCTTCTGGAAATAAAAAGGACCTAGAACATCTAGAACAATCTTGAAAAGGAACCAAGATAAAATCGTTATACAACTTGACACGAGATTTGCTGTAAAGGTACAGGCATGAACAAAGTGTGGTGCTGGCATAAGGACTGACAAAGACATCACTGGAAGAGAAGAGTGGAAAAACACAGTACATTTAAGAAGAAATAGAACATATTTGGATCAAATCTTCAAAGAGATGTATCTCCACAGGGACAAATATGCCAAAATAAGTTTGAATTTACCATAGTCGGGGGAACATTTCAAGTTACTTAGATCTTGCTAAAACCACAGTTGGGGGAACATTTCCGCTTACTTAGATCTTGCTAAATTTAAAGTGTATTTAGTAATAAATAAGAGTTAATACAAAATGAAAAGACCTGAAAGTTGAAAACTGAATGAAATGAACAATAAAGCAGATAATATTAAATAATTTTTCAGGTTTGTAAATCAAAGTCCCCAGAATGCTTCTGTGAAAATACTCTGCTCTGGAGATTTTGAATTCTTTTTATTATTATGCTATTATTACACTTCCATCAACCAGAAAAATACTTTATTTTAACATAATAGGCAAAAAGAGACCATTTTATGCCAGGAAGCCTAGAAAAGAGGAAGGGAAACAGGAAGGAGAGCAGAAGAGAAAAAGCAGACAAACAGATAGCAAAAAAAATTTCAAAAACGTATGTATCCAAATGACAGGAAAAATTACAGGCAGAATGTTCGTTAAGCAACCTAATACTTAAAGCATGTAACATTCTTAAGGAGTTAATAAAATTGCAGACCTTTGTTACTGCAAGTTTCATGGAATGCAGAATTTGATTTTTTTTTTCTGTTTCTATATAAGAAGTACAAATAAAATTGATTCTCAATATTAAATGATATAAGGGAACTACAAATGGATACCAGCATGAGATCACCGTGAAGGAAAATAATAAAATGTCTCTGTTTCCTTCCTTACTCCTAATTCCTCTGCTTGAACACACATTCCCACATCACTAAGAAATTATATCAGCTGCAGGTCTATGACCATTTAAAAGTCTGAAAATGGGTAGAAGTCTAAAAGATGTGCCATTAATTAAAGACGATTAGCACAGTAACCATGGATTAAGAAATAGTAATCGAAAAATAAGACTGACTGCTCTCTGTTCCTGGTGCCCCAGAACATAACTTCTATTTCCAAAGTTAAAAAAAAAATTAAAAAAAAATTAAAAAAAACCTACCTCAGAGATGAAAGGTAAGTCCTAAGGAAAATTTTTAAATGGAAATACCTGATAACATATAGATTGATGATGCAGCTAAATTTTGGGAGGCTTACGGGGCACAAATAAAGAAATCGTTCCCCTGTCAGTTTCACTGGGCAGAAGTAATGGGTGTGGACCCGAATACGCAATACCTATACCTTTATAAGGAAATTTTGACAATTATCATAATGTAAGTAATCTTAAATTCCAAGTATTTAAAAATAACATTTTCTTAAAAAGTGCTTCTTATCACTGAGGAGTAACCAGACACAGGACACAACACTGCAGGAGGTTACTGAGTGTGAACAGTATGTGAAGTATGACATGAGAGAAAACTACACTGGATTGCTGCTGGGAGCTTCAGCCTAATTTCTGCCTTAAACACAGACACAGGATGCTGGTTTCAGAGCAATATGAAAAGTTACAACATGACAGATCAAACTTAAAATTTTAGGATGGGTAACAGTAACACTGAGAGAATTCTACTTGATTAATAATTATAAATTACCATGGAACAGCAAATAAGGCCAAAGAAAGAAAAATCATCTCTCTTAACACAGTTACAAGATGCTAAATTTTAAAGCATTTCATAAAAATATTAACTGCATTACCTTCCTGTCATTTGTTATTTGATGAAGTTTTACTTTTACTGTTGAATTTCCTAAATGTGGGGGGGTGGATTTGATGTGTTCAATAAATAGCTAAGATGCTTACTTACACACTGAGCATGTTCATTTTTTTCTTTTTTTAATTTCTCCAGCCTCACATAACATACCTTAGACAGTCTTTTGGAAGATTCACAACTATGGTCCGTACATGGCTTAGGTCCTTTTTCAGTGTCTAGAGATGAAACTGAAAAAATACATTATCTTTTATCAAGGGCCCAAAGTCTATATCACAATATTAAAATTGGTTTTGGAAAGATAAAACAGGTCATTTATCTAATATTTCTCTTCCACTAATAATTAAGCAATTTCCTAATGTTCAACTACACTATTCAGCTATAAATCTAAGCCAAAGATTTGTTTTATATAAATCAGGAAAACCTATTACAGTGCACCTAAGAATTAATAATAATGTTAGTAACAATAACAACAGTGCCTGATGATGAGAAGAAAGACTACAGCAGAAATACACGAAATAGAGAACAGAAAAATCATAGAAAAGCTTCACCAAACTAAGAGTTGCTTCTTTGAAAAGTAAAAAAAATTTATAACCCCTTCGTGAAACTAACCAAGGAAAAAAGAAAGGGCCCAAACCAACAAAATTATAAATAAAAAAGGAGACACAACAACCAATAACATGGAAATTCAAGGGCTCATTAAGAGGCTACTAGGAATAACTATACACCACTTAACAGTACAATGTGGAAGACATAAAAACTTGCAGAGACATAAAAGTCAAAGAGGAAATCAGAAAAAGATGACTTAAGGATTTCCATTAAATAATCTTTCTAAATTATTTCATCAACTTAATTACCAGTGTTCTAAAACCTTCAGTTACTTCCCACTATTGATCAAAATATATAAAAAGAAATCTGATTTCTATCCGTAGGTTTAGCACTGATAAACACAGGCATATTACTTAATATCTCTTTGAAACCCAGTCTCTGCTCTGTAAAACAAGAGGCTAAATATTATGATTTTGTCATTCTTTCTAGCTGTGAAAATATGATTTAAAATATAAATGTCAATCTTAACAATCTAAGCTCTCTATAACCACAATCATGACTATTTTACTTTCCACAAATTCTCTACATGAGAACATAGATCCTTGCTCATATTATCAACATTTGCCTGACATTATATAAAGTATGTTGGATGGATAAGCACTGATATGAAGATAATAAAATTGACCATAAAGTATTAATAATGCAGAATACACTTGTAGAATACTGGGAAATCTTCATTACTGCAATATTCTTTTTTATTATCTCCCCAAACCAGTACACATCATGAAATTTCCCTGTTGCCATCTGAACGGATATCATAAAGTATTATAAAATATCACAAAAAAGACAATATAGTACATCAGAGTGATTTTATAAAATCAAACAGAACAGATGTTAAGCTGAAGCAGACCTCCAAGGACTGTAGATTTGGAAAAAAGTATTTTTTTTTTTATGGACTACTTTTTAAATCCTTTAAAAATAAGACCATCATAAAAACAGACCCAGGAGGGGCGCCTGGGTGGCTCAGATGGTTAAGCGTCTGCCTTCAGCTCAGGTCATGATCCCAGGGTCCTGGGATCGAGCCCCGCATCGGGCTCCCTGCTTGGTGGGGAGCCTGCTTCTCCCTCTCCCTCTACTGTTCCCCCTGCTTGTGCTCTCTGTCAAATAAATAAATAAAATCTTAAAAAAAAAAAAAATAGACCCAGGAAATTTAAAATCTCTAGACCTGTGTATCAAAAATATACAACGGAGTTAAAGAAAGCATTTTCAAAATGTAGCCAAATATTTAAAACATTATTTACCTAAGCTAAAGCTTTTGAAACTACTGTTCATTATGAATTCAAAAGATGGTAGACCAGAGTCTACCAATTTATCATAGTATGATTATGAGATCAGATTATGAAGACACACAATTTTGTTTTTAATTTGAATCTGTATAAAAGTTTAAGGCAAATTTAAAAATCCATCAAAATCTACTATTTATTGGGGCACCTGGGTGGCTCAGTCGTTTAAGTGTCTGCCTTCAGCTCAGGTCATGATTGGGCTCCCTCTTCGGCAGGGAGTCTGCTTCTCCCTCTGCCCCTCACCCTGCTCATGTTAGCTCTCTCTCTCAAATGAATAAGTAAAATCTTTAAAAAAAAATTACCATTTATTAAACTAAAGCAATATTGCTGGAAACAATAACAGAGAATCCACAGAAATTATCCAGACTCTAGAAGCAGTACAGACAGTGATTAATCAAGTCATTAACATCAAGAATGTTTACCTTATAATTCAGTACTAAAGGTAGTAAGAGCCAACAGGCAGTATATTCCTGCTGCTGCCCAGTACCATGTTAGGTAAACCATACAACACTTATGCTGTCTAGATCAGTCCACTCAATTAGCTCTATGGATCCGACAGAGCACAATTTCTTTCTGAACCCCTGCCTCCTTTGATATACCTGGCTTTACTTAGGCTAGACAGCCAAGCTCCTCTTATATGAAATTATGTACTCTTTTTTTTATCTTTTTATATGAAACTTTCTACAAAATTTGAAAATGAAAAAGACAAAAATGACATCTGTAAAGTGGTGAAGTAGGATATTTCAAGCCACATCCTACCACAGAAATGCTGACAAAAATGACCCAAAACAGTCAAAATCAAGTTTGTTGAAACTCTGGAAATTCCTCATTTTTACATCAACGGAGAAAATGCTGAGTCAACAGAAGCTGACTTATGCACAGCACTTAAAGACTCTTTTATCAGAACACTAGCTAACATCAAGCTAAAGGACATGAGACATGAGAGATCACATACAACAAAGAATATAGTCTTTACAAAGGTAGTTTAGATAAGTCACTAAACAAACAACTACAACCCACATGAGCAACAAAAACACAAAAGAGGTGGAAGAATCTGACTTCATGATTACTACCTGTTAGAATATTCAAAATGTTCAGTTTTCAAAAAAAATTATAAGGAACATGAAGAAAGAAGAGTATGAACCAACAGCCAAAAAAAAAAAACAAAAAACAAAAAACAAAACTATCCCTGAGGAAGCACAGAAATTGGAATTAAATAGACAAAGATTCTATATATCAACTGTATTAAATATACTCAAAAAACTAAAGGAAATAATGAACATAGAACAACAAAAAGGAAAATGATTTCTCAACAAACAGAACATATTAATAAAGTGAAAGATGACATAAAAAGAAACCAAAAAGAAATTCTGGAACTGAAGATTACAACAATGAAAATGAAAAACTCACTGCAGGCTTTCAATTCCAGATTTGATCTTGTGAAAGAATCAGTAAACTTGAGGATAGGTAAACTGAAATTATCAGTTAGAGGAGCAGAAAGAAAAATCAGGAAAAGAAATGAAAGCCTAGGAGACCTGTGACACATCAAGGGTACCAGCATATGCATAATGGGGGTCAAAGGTGAAAAAAAAAGAAATGAACTAAAAGAACGTTTGAAAAATTAATGCCAGTAATGTCCTAATTTGATAAAAGACATGTATCTACATATCCAAAAAGACCAATGGAATTCAAGTAGGATAAAGGCAAGGAATTTAACAGTGAAACACATTATAACCAATCTGTCAAAAATCAAAGTCAAAGAAATTATCTTGAAAGCAGAAAAAGAGAGAGAGAGAAGAAAAAAAGGAAGTTGTCACTTTAAGTCCATAAAAAGATTAATAGATTTCTTGTAAAAACAAACAAACAAAAAAACACATGGAGGTCAAAGGCAGTGAGATAACATATTTGAAGTATTAAAAGAAAAAAGGTTCCAACCAAGAATCCTGTATCTGGAAAAGTATCCTTCAGAAATGAAGAAGAAAGTAAAATATTCCAACCACAATGTTTGCAACATTAGCTAGTAACAGGACGACAGACAGTAATTCAATGCTATGCAAAGAAATAAAGAATAGTGGTAAAGTCAACTCCACAGACATATGGCAATACTGTTGTATTTTTATCCTTTTAACTTCACTTTTTTCATGTATATGGTTAAAAAGAAATACATAAGATAAATCTATGTTAGTGGTAAACAATGTATAATAATGCAATTACTGAGAACATCATAGGCAGGAAGGAACAAACTATACTGGAGCAGAGTTTTGGTACACTGTTCAAACCAGGCTAGTATTCAAACTATACAGTTACATTTTCAAGTTATTAACTGTAAAACTCAGGATAGCTGCCAAGAAAATAACGAATATATTCAGAAAAAGAAATGAGAATAAAATCAAAATGTTATTTTATAGTCAATTAAACACAAGAAAAATCAGTAACAGAACCATTAAGAAATAAAAAAGATAAAAGAGAACTTCTGGTTTATAGTCCAACGTGAAAGGCACTTGGATGCTGTCACTCCTGTCCTCCCAGGAGAAGAGGTAAACAAACTGAGACTCACAAACTCCTCTTTGATTCACCCAACAACTGAGGTCTCAAGGAAAACTGCTGCCCACACAACTGTAGAGAAAAAAGGTGGATATGGAGAATTATTGCTTACCAGGAGCACAAGCCCCAGAACAAGAGCCTGCCAGGCGAGCTAGTGCCAGGAGGAAAAAAACCTCAACTTAGAATCTGTTGAAGGCTTGCAGTGAGAAAGCTCAGATATTAAAATTCCAGCTCACAGAGACCTCCACACTTTCATGAGTTTTGCCTCCATCAGTCCCAAGAGGCTCTCAGGGAGGGGATTGAAAACAAATCCCCTTGTGCTTCTAACATGAGGAAGAACAAAATAAACACTTAGAAATGCACCAAGAATACTCACTTGTCTTCAATAAAAGTCTGCCCTAAAGAGAAATATTTTACCGCAGCTTAAGCACCTTGAGGTTTACCGGAGTTTAAATGACCTTGCAGACTGGAAATATCCAACTCCAACAACTTATAGGCTTCCAGTGCAAACCAAGGAAGAGGAGAAAAAACACTGCTGAAGGTTTTACACCAAAGGTCTAAGCTGTCTAAAACCTTGAGATCTGGTTGTGGGGCGATAGGATGCTTTTGCTACCTCTACAAATTACCACCACATCAACAGGGTATCTTATAAACCAGGAGATTACAACAGGAGGATTTTAAATCCCAACCTTATTTAATAAGAAGACTTTAGGGAAACAACAAAGGAGACAAACACAAGAGTATCACAGAAATTTTCAGCCTCTGAAACCCAGAGTTCTCATAAAACGTAAATA